GAGCCCCTGAGGATAATGATAGGTTAGCTTTCTTTCCCTTGGTAAAATGAGGTAATTCAAGACACGTTAAAGTATTTAAATGCAGGTTTATTGTTAGCAGCTCTTGGGTAGGCTCAGGGTAGGCTCACCGGGGCCAGGGAAGTCGCCATGCAGGGGGAGACTGAAAAGCAAGAACAGAAAGTATACTCACAGAGAGAGGAGAGAGTGAAAGCAGAGAGAGAAGAAACACAGAAAGAAAGAGGGAGGTGGGCTAGAAAGATGTCTCAGAGGTTAAGAGCACCGGCTGTTCTTCCAGAGGTCCTGAGTTCAATTCCCAGCAACCACATGGTGGCTCACAACTGTCTATAATGAGATCCTGTGCCCTCTTCTGTTGTGCAGGGACACATGCAGGCAGAATAACATATAAATAATAAATAATCTTTTAAAGAAAGAGAGAAAGAAAAAGAGGAGAGAAAGTGGAGAGCTCGGGAACCAAACTATCTGGGTTGTATAGTAAAGAGCCTGTTAGGGAAGGGAAAGCCCCTGACCCTGGACTAGAAAATTTTGGGTAGAGGGTGGGGTATGCCAGCTATGCCCTGTAGCAGGTAGGAACGAGGGATGCTGGGAGAACCTGGAAGGTAGGTCTGCTTTGGTCAAAAAGGCACCTCAGCTGCTTGTCACAGGTCTGAAGCCTAACAGATAATCCCCAGGTCACAGACCTTCAGGGGGCTCTTGTTCTAGAAAAAGAAAGCAACCACCCCAAGTTCGAGCTGTGTGGAAAAGAGACAGGGATGTGGGCAGCCATGCTGCAGCCAGGGTACCTGCTGCAAACCCTGTGCTTGTTCCTACCCCTGCCTGCTGATTGTGATCATCATCCTCTCACCTTCCAGTTCTTTCCCTTTCAGGGGAGGGGAGCCTCAAGCTTAGCAGCAAAACAGGCAGAGGCTCTAACAAGGAAGGACAGTGCCTTGTCCAAGGGTCTGGGTGCCTGACCCAGCCCCTCCCTAGGAGAGGAGAGGGCATGGGATTAGGCACTCCTCAGAATGCTTGTGCCTCCCTGAGGTCCTTCAGTGGAGCCTGCTGAATGTAGGTCGGAGCCTGACTTTCAGTTCAGGTTGGTGTGGCCTGGACAAGCCCTGCCCTGCTGCACAGTAGTGACTTAACCTGAGCAAGCCCCTGACTTGTAAATGGCACCATTGTGAGGGTTGAGTGAGGTCAGATGTTGTCCCTTTCCTGATCCGGTGATTCCATACCAAGATCCTCCTCCTCCTAAGGTCAGGACCCAGGTATAGAGCAGGAGCCCACAGCACAGAGCACTGCCACTGCCCTACACACATTGCTCCTGCAGAGCGCCACTTGCTCCTCCCTGGCTGTAACAGCTCCAGCTGGGAAGGGGCACTCGGGGCACTCTGTGCCACAATGTGGCAGAGGAACTTGGGGAGACTGCTTTGACTGGCAGCCCCTCTCTAGAGTGTTGGCTGGCAGCTGCTTCAGGGCCTCATGAAAGAGTCCCTCTTCTGTCCGTCTGCTCAGTTCTCCTCCATCTGGGTGCACAAAGACTTTTACAGCCTTGAGCTGAGGCAGAGGGAACTTCAGTCAACCCAGCCTGCAGCCTCGGCTCTCCAGATGGGGACCCGCCAGGAGCCAGGCCAGGCCCCTGTAGTCCCTGCGGTGAGGGGAAGCAAAGCCTCTGGATCTTGAGCCTGGCATGAGTCACTCTCCACCCTTCCAGTACCCAACCCTCCATCCACGGTGCCCTGCCTACTCCTCTGTCTGCTAGTGTCACTTCACTTCCTTCCCTCCCCCCTTTTCCTAGGTCCCAACCACTTTGATCTTTTTACAAGCTTTGTTTCAGCCGAGCACTCAACCTGTAGGCAGCAAGCACATCCTCCTCAGCCTCCCTCTCTTGGGAGCATTAGTGCTCTTGCCTGGCCTCCTGCGCTTAGGGGCCGCTTTTATCTCCTGGGGAACATCATTAGCTTACAGCGCACTGCGCCCAAAGCTGGATCCTCACAACATTAGTTAATAGCAATCTTTTGTTGCACTGGCATGGTTTTCCCACATCTTCAATGCTGAACAAAACATAACTTTGTTGTTTAAGGTGTAAAACAGCAAAAAAAAAAAAAAAAAAAATCATTAAAGGTGGACAAATGTTCTGAAGACTACAAAGAGCACATGGGTGGAGCTTGGCAGTCTCTCAAAGCCATTTTTGCCCAGTGCTGGGGGTTCAGCCATGGGAATCAGAAAACTGGGAATGGAGCTGGGGAAAAAGTGGGGAGAATCAGAAGTCAACTGGGTTTGTTTCCTTCTGTTAAAGTGTTGCTGAAATTGGCAGTGGGATATTAAGAGCCTAAGTGATCGCATCATTGCCAGAGCCAAACGGCTGAAACACCATTTGGCAGGTAAAGAGAGTACTTTAAACAGGACCCTTAGAAAAGAAGGCTAGATTTGGCCAGATGGCAGGCCAGGAATGGGCACGCTAATTAGGTGCCCTGCCTGTGAGTCAGATGCCAAGTCAGAGAGTGCTGGCTCCCCCATATCTGGAGAAGATTATTTCTCGTTAACTTGGCCCATCCTCTTAAGCCAGCCTGTACCCCTCAGTTACGTGTGCAGGCTTCTCCTGCACCTCACCTGCAAGTCCAGCTTTCAGACCCTCACCTGGGGTCTGTCAAGGCGGAAGACAGGAGCTCAAGCAAAGCTTGGGAAGCTAGGCCAGGCATGGGGTGAAGGGCTGAGTTCAAGGCATGGGCCATTTGTGGAGACAGCCTTGTCAGATTTGACTGGAGGTCCCACATTCCAAAGGATACAGGAGCCAAGCAGGATGTGCGAAACCATGGGGCACTCAGGCCAGCTACAGGGCATGCCCATCCAGAGACCCCTTTCTCTGCTCTCACTGATGGCAGCCACCTAGATGGGGGCTCACACACTTATGGAGATTAGGAGTGGGGTACAGACCCTCTCCCATGGTTACCTGTGAGGATGCCCTGCAGCTTCTGAGGCTTCTAGAATTTCATAAGGTGGCCATTTGTATTAAATGAGAAGAAAGAGACATAAAAACTGCATCCAAGCAAGCAACCCTGCCTTAGACGTCGCCCCTGGGTCACCAGTCTAAGGCAGGCCAGCTCCAGCAGCTGAATAATCGGGTCTGTCCCCTCCTGAGTGCCAGCTGGAGTCAGTGCTGCGGACAGCGCCCATCTCAGGAAAGAGTAATGTGAGAAAGCTGGAGGGCAGTTTTCTGGCACTTCGGTGGGCATTTTAAGTCAAAAGACAGCCCGTTTGTCTCCTCAGCAGTCACCACAGTCGTCACAGTTATTACTACTGCTTGGGGAAAAAAGCACTGCTCATTTTAGAAAGCTGTCTGTCAGGGTGCTTAAAATAAAAGCAGGCCTGGCACAAGGGGCTGTGCGGGCGGGGGGGGGGGGGGTACGTTTATATTGAAAGTCACCCAGGAAAAGAATTCCTCAGGCTTGTGCAACACAGGCACAGTGGATGTCTCTGTGGGAGAGCAGTGCCATGTCCCCAGGAGTGGGCATTTCCAAGTTTCTCTCTTTAATTAAAATATGCATTGGGCATCTGCTGTATGCCTTGTGGTTCTAGGCCTGGGGACACAGCATGAACCAAGAACAGAGCCTATAGGAAGGCTGCGAGAAGAGAAGAAGGGCAGGGAGCACCTTGAGCAGGAGAGTGGGAAGGGGTGGAGAAGGAGGCAGGGAGAATGCCGAGCACTGAGCGGGAGGTTGGGGGACGGCCCCTGGCTGGGAAGAACTTGGTCAGCCTGTCCTCTCTCCCCTGCCTGAGACTCGTGGAGCCACAGCCTCCTACCTCCTCCATCTGGGCCAGCTTGCCTAGCTTCAGAGCGGCCCCCACACTGCTGCAGGTCAGGGTGTCCCTCACCGCCCCAGGTCTAGACCCGCCCTCCCAGCCGCCAGATAGTCCGCTCTTCTGCTGCTTTGGCCTGCAGCCTGCTAGCATGTCAGTGTCCCACTGAGGCTGGGGATGGGCAAGTCTGTGCGCATTGGGCCTTGTTGATTCTTGTTCTCAAAGTTAATGATTTTATCTGGCATGTTCTCTTTTGTTTTTTAACTATATTTGTAATGACAAGAATTTCCAGTGCTAGGGAGATGGCTCAGCAGGTAAAGGCGCCTACTGCCAAGACTAACGACCTGAGAGTTTCATCTCCAGGACCCACGGGATAGGAGAAGAGAACTGACTCCTGGAGGTTGTCCTTTGACCCCAGTCTGTGGCACATGCTCTTATACACACCCACGCACATAGGCACATACACACATGCATACATACACACACACACACACAAGTAAATAAGAAAATGTATTTAAATTTTTACAAAGAGTTTCTAATGAGGACAGTCAAACCATTAATTTGAATATAACTCTTAGTTAGTCAACTCCTGTTTGGGGGATGGTTCAGTCCTGCAGTGGTCTTGCCCCATTGTTTGGAAATGAGATGCTGAGGCCCACGGTGAGGAGCTGGATCAAGGACTGGAGACAGTGCCTGTGTCTGTCTCGTGTTTCCTGTGCACCTCAGGCTATCTGGCCCCTGGCATCGCTACTACCCTTCTGAGAAGTCAGGAGACCTGGGTGGGTCCAGAGGAGAGCTGAGAAGGTCAGAGGGCTGATGGACAGGAGGGCCAGGGCAGGGGCCGGTCAGGAATGCTGGCAGGTGAGGGCCTGGTGAGGAGCATGGAAATGGGATGAGATCACTGCATCCTTGCTGTCTGCCACTGTCAAACAAGGTGCCACACCCTGCCCCCTCCCTAGCAACCGCGAGTTTCTCCTCTCCCATGCTTCTCTCTGTCCATAGTTTCAGTTGCCAGAGTGGTCCACCCTCTACTTGTGCTGTGTCCCCCTGCCTACCGCGTCTCGTCCTTGCCCCGACTCCACTCATTTTCCTATTTGAGATGTTATTGTAGATGTGGGAGGAGGGGTGCAGGGGGGTGCAAGCAGGGCTGTTGCTGGTGAAGCCAGCAGCTCCCGGCTAATGGTAACTGTCCTTCATCCCAGGTGACAGACCATGCCACCACTGCCCTGCTCCACTATCAGCTACCCCAGATGCCAGATGTTGTGGTCAGGTCCTTCATGGTAAGTAGCGTCAGCGGTCAAGCCTTCCAGCTAGGGACAGATCTGCAGACCCGGACCCAGGTAATCCCACTTGAAGCAGAGCTGAACAAGCAGTGCCCACAGACATGGCCTTCCAGAAGTTTCCAGCATTCCTCATTCACCACAGGGCTCTATGGCGTGATCTGAGCATGTAGCGGGGACTGGGATAAATCTGCGGTTCCCCAAGCCAAGTCTCTCTGCAGTCCTCAGAGCTGGAGCTCTAGGTGAGAGCAAGCACACAGCAGCATGGCAAGCTGGCTCTTCAGCCACCAAGAACACAGATCAGAACAAGCGAGTGTTTACATGTAGACATCAGGACATCCCCTCTTCCTCCCCCCCCCCCCCCCCCCGGGCTGGTCTCATAACCAGTGCAGCCTCCAGAGACCCTGCAGCCAGTTCAACTCCAGGGACAGCTTCCCTGGAAGCCATTGGCCTTTGCCCTTCCCTGCCCAGGAAACTCCTTTTGTCCTCACACAACCATGGCTGCTAGGTTTCCTACCTGCTGCTCTGAGCAGTAGTGATAGTGAGGGATGCTGCTTGGCAGTTCACTGTCACATGGGCTCCATAGCTCATCTTCTTGGCATCAGCACTCAGTCCTCACAGGACACAAGCCTGGCTTGAGAACTAACTGCATGGTGCTGGGGGCACTCAGCTGAAAAGGCAGAGAGTCCTTCCCCACGAGGAGTGAGCAAGTAACGATGTGAAGGTCGTGGCCCACAGACTAGCTTTCCATCTGACCTACCCACGATGCTAAGTTTCCCTTTGATCTTGAAATGGGGGTGTTGAGAAATGAACAGGCCATCACCCTCCTGTTTTTACTTCCAAAACCCCCCACCATCTACGGCTGGGCCAGATCTGCCCCTCGGGAACTGCTTGTATCAGTAACCTCTTCTGAGAACAGCGTCCTCTTGTTGACACCTTCAGGAGTGAGTCATGTGACCGGCCCAGCTCTCGGAGCGGCCTGCCTGTGGTGGTGGGTTCTGCTAGCTGGGCCTCTGCCCGTGAGTCTCCTTGAGATGGAGAATTGAGTTACATGAGCCTCATCCTTATGCATGACATCTGGGAGCCCTCGGCTCTCACCTCAAAGGGTGGGGGACTGTCACTGATTATGTTACTTGGTGACATTGGGGCTGCCCCATCATGATGGAGAGGGGCACCCTCTGAAATGAGATTAGCTCAGAGCACATTGCCCTGGTACAGAATCTCACAACACTTCCTCAACTGCCTGAACTGCCTGTGCTTGCTCCTCAGACACAGGGAAGAGGGATTGAGGCAGCTGTCCATATAACAGGGAACTGGCCAATGATGCCAGATAACCTTGGGGAACAGTCCAGCTCTGGAAAGCAGGGATTTCTGTGTTAAGATCTTAGGAGGAACAGGAGATATCAGAACTGAGTCCCAAGGGGACCAGCTTGTGGGTTAGACAGCGTTTCTGTGGGACCACAGGTGTCTTCCAGGGCCAGGGCCTGCTTAAGCTCTGTCCTTGGGCCACCATGCCCACTGGGAGGACAATTGAAGAGGTCCCCCTCTCTCCTTTCTATCTCACTTCTTTTCAGACCTGGTTGAGAAGCTACATAAAGCTGTTCCAGGCCCCGTGCCAGCGCTGTGGGAAATTTCTGCAAGATGGCCTTCCCCCGACGTGGAGAGACTTCAGAACCCTGGAAGCTTTCCACGACACCTGCCGGCAGTGACCCCAGCCCAGCCACTGGCTAGCCTTCAGCACCAGCCCTTCCTGGACCAGTCCAGTCCACTTACCACACAGGTGTATGTCGCTGTTCTCTTGGGCCCACCTGCCGGCAGAACTGTCACCCAGCAGCGGCGTACTGTGGGGGGGATGGTCTGCCCTTCCCTGTTTGCTGGCATCTCTGTGAGTTGGCCCCTCAGTCTTTTGTTTGTGAGCTGTTACTGGAATGAGCGCCTGTATTCTTGCACTGGTCATGCTTGGTTGGTTTTTGTAACTTATTTTTTTAAACAATAAACCTTTTGTACCCTAGACAAGTCTCTGTGTCCTGTGTCTTATACGGGACATCTGACTTCCTCTGTTTAAATGAAAGAGTTTGAGTCACTGTCCTTGGGCTGGGCATGCTAAAAGCCCTGAATCTCCAGCACCACATGGTGGCACACCCTAGAATCCTGGCTAGGATAGGGAGACAGGATCAGGAGGTCAGGGTTGTTATCTTCAGCTGCACTGAGAGTTAGAGGCCAGCCTGGGCCAATCTCAAGCGGGGGAGGGGGGGAGAGTTCTTACCAAGGCTGCCTGCCCTCACTGTTTTTTCCTTCTAGGGGAGCACAGGTGGGGCTAGGGTGCAGAGCTGGCAATGCTGTGGACTGGTCATCAGTTGTGGCAAATGGAGGGCTCCTTCTGAGGAAAGAATTGCAAGAGGCTGTATTGAGTCAGTTCCACTGGTGACTAAAGAGGGGCCCTTCCTGGGTAGTAGCTAGAGCACATGCTAGTGCAGTCACTGGTGCTGGCTTCTTGGCACGCTGCATCCCATGAACCCTCTGCAGCCTTCCTAACAAAGCCACTCTCCATTCAGTGAAAAGCACCAACTCTGTGAAGGGCTCACCCTACCGTCCTTGAGGAAATCCACTCCTTCCCCCTCCCTCCCTTTCCTATCTTCCTACCCCCTCTCTTCTTCCCCCTCCCCTTTGCCCTCCTTTCTCTCTCTCTCTCTCTCTCTCTCTCTCTCTCTCTCTCTCTCCTTATTGTTTGGGGGGGTTGTTTTTTGTTTTGAGGCAGAGTTGTCTTGCTAGGTAGCCCAGGCTTTTAAACCTAAGCAGTTTTGCCCAAGTGCTGGGATTACAAGCATATACCACCACGCTAACAGAAAAACTCAGATTTTCCTTATAGTAGAGTGGATGGTTCCTGACAGGTCCTGGGCCACCCAGCCCATTCCCACTTGACCATCAAATTGGGAGGAACCAAGGCAGAAGGTTTTGGTTGTTTTTATTTTTTTATGTTTTTGTTTGTTTATATATATATGAGTGATTTGCCTAAATGTATGTTTGTGCACCACATGTACCCTGGGACTGGAATTACAGAGTTGTGAGCTGCCATGTGGCTCCTGGGAACTGAACTGGGTCCTCTGGAAGAGTCCTCTTGCCTCTGAGCTGTCATTGAGTGAGGGATACACACCACAGTGCCTCTGGACACGGGGCCCTTAGCACAACAGCAGTGCCAGGTGAGAGCTTGAGAAGTGCAGGCCTTCAGGCCAACCCTGCTACCTCCATGCTCCCACTCTCCAGCTGCGCAGGGACAGTGGCATGGGCCTCAGAGGACCTCCGCTCTGGGAAACACTGCTTCCCTTACTGCACATTTGGGAGCTGTGAGAGGCATGGTTGTCAGTCACGGTGTGCCAGAGGGGTCGCGGCATTCCGTGTCAGAGTTCGCCAAGATCAAAGACGCCATTTCTTCTGCCTTAAGTCTGACTGTTCCGCCTAGAGAGACACTGCCCCTCCCATCACAGGCTCCTCTCCTTGGTCTCCCAGACCCTTGTTTATTGCTTTAAAGAAAATCACAGCACCGAGTTAGCGATGCGAGTCTGCCTCAAAACTGCAGATGTTTCCAAAAGCACTTACTGACAAGCGGGCCTGGTGCGGTGCCGAGGTGCGCACCGCTCGCATGGCGTGATGGCAGCACTGGCTATGACCAAGTTGGGGCATGTGCGGTGATGAGTGCCTCGTGACTGCCAGCTGGCAGACAGCACCTTCAGAGACGTGCAAATGTGGAAACATCCCCGAGGAGGCACATTGTGAAAAAGCTATTTGGGTTTTGAACCATTTGCCTCTGGTCCGCCTCTGGATCGTTCTGTAGCTCTCCAGCCTGCTTCAGCCTGCTTCCGATAGCGACTTCACACGCACATCCCATACCGGACCCTGGGCAGGCTGTTGCTTCCACTCAGAACAAAGGTAGCTGTTTTTGTGTTGTTTGTCATCTTCAGAAACACATTCCTAGAACAAATGGTTTTTTCCTGCTTCCTGGGATGACAGGAATCCATCTCCACAGGTTTGATTACAGCCACTAAAGAGAAGCATTCCTTAAACAATAGCACAGCCTGAGGGGGACCGAGGAACAGGGTCAGCTGGCCCAAGACCTGTGCTCCAGCTTGGAATGACAGTGGGTTAGTGGCTTCCTCTGTACTAGTTAAAAGTGCAAATTGGTCATCTAGCACAAAAGAAGGAAGCCTCCGCCAAAGAAACTGGTTGGCTGTGAGGCAGCCATGACAGGCTGGACAACAGAAGCCCAGGCCATGCCTGCTATTCTGATTCTCATTTTCTTTTCCCCCTTCTTACACTTTTTATTTATTGTGTGTGCATGTACATATGTGTGTAGGGTGCACGTGTGGGGCCAGAAGACGGCGTGTAGGTACCAGTTCTCTCCTGTGTGAGCTGTAGGAAGCAAACTCCCGATTGTCAGGCATGGGGCAGGCATCGTTACCCACTGAACCATCTCAGATCTGATGTTCCAGTTTTTAACATTCCCTAATTAAGGGGGAAAGAGAGGAGAGCAGAGTTCCCGTCTCTGTCCTCGCACCCTGCAGCCCCGAGAAGGCAAGTCTGGGTGGTAATGCGTGTGATGACGTGCTTGGAGAGCAGCGTGCAATGGCATGACTTGGGTGTCAGCTGTTGAAATAGGAAGACATTGACCCGAAGTTGACATAAAACCTTGAATTGCCTGGAAGTCAGCTCCCAGAGGGTAAGTTGTAAGGGCAGCCAGAAACAGAGTGCTGCTGGGGCGGGGTGGGGAGCACCCCGCAGGTCCTAGAGCTGAAAGATGGCAGAGTGCTATGTCACGTGGCAGGTGGTTTGAGGATGTGGACGTGGTGGTGGAATGCCTACCCAACATACATGCAACCCCAGCACCTCACAAGGCCAGCTGCTGTGGTGGCACGCTCCTGTAGCCACGTAGCCATTTAGGAGGTAAACGGCAAGAGGAGCAGAAGTTCAAGGTCATCTTCCGCTACATAGCAAGTTCAAGACCAGCCTGGGCAACAGGAGACTCTTCACATGATTTGGACTCTTTGGGGGAGCCCTCTGGCCAGACTTGTGCGGCATTTATCTTATGGGACCATGTTGTTACCTCTAGTTCCACGTCTCTCTTCCCCCGAGTGGTTCATACACACTGCCAAGCATTACCCCAGGCAAGTATGCGATGTTCCCACTTGACAGAGGCGGGAGCTGCCGGAGGGTCTCCCACGCTGGCATGTGAGGGGAATGAAGGGCTGGTAACATCTGAGCTCCCTCCCCACGGGGTCCAGCCCACCTGCTGAAGTTACTGCTCCTGAGTAGCCAGGCCTCTGCCCCCTGCCTTCTGCTGGCCAGTTGCTCTGGTGTCCATTAGCAGCTGACAGAATAAAGCAGGCCTGTGAAAGGTTGTCCAGATTTTTTTTTTTTTTCCTTCTGAACTAAATTGGGAATTGGCCTTTTGGTATCGAGTGATGTTTTTACACTTAACACCATGGACACCACAAAATGGTGATCTTTCAGTGTTAATGCGTGAAGTTGCCGTTACATTTGGAGTGTCAGAGAGTGGGCCTGATGCTAAATTGGGAGCCTTTTAAGGTCACCTCAGTTGGGCAGAGGAAGGACATCTTCACCCAGAAGACTTCTCATAAGATCTGGACCCCCTGCAAATCTGACAGAAAGTGTCACCCAGGTCTGGGAGAGACAGAAAAGGAAAACTGGCCTTTCCGCACTGTGCCCTGGCCTCATGTCTGCACTGACACACTGGAGATGATCGGAGCTCACCTGGGCCTACACCGTCCCACCTTGGTCAGCACTGCTGCAGCAGTCAGCAGGACTCTTCCACACGTGTGCAAAAAACTCGGCCAGGGCCCCGCAACCAGACACTAGCTAATCAGCCTTCAGTACCTAGCATATGGGCTGCTCCAGGGTCTGCAGTCCTACCCTCCCCAGCCCCTAAGCTAATGGGAAGAGAACCTCAACCAGAGCTCAAATTTCAGCCAGGCATTCTGGCTCGCGTCTTTAATGCCAGCATTGGAGAAGGGAGGCAGGAGTATTGCCAGTTCAAGGCCAGCCTGGACCCAGCTCGAGACTTGGTCTCAGTAAACCCAAAACATGCTGTGGGCATATCTCTGTGGATAAAGGATCAGGAGCTGCGTTTAGTCCCCTGCCCCCACATGAAAGCATGAAAGCCAGCACAACCACACACATCTATAATCCCAAACCGAAACGGCATAGGCCTGGAGTTCTCTGGCCACCTGGCCTGACCAAAGCAGTAGCCTCCAGGTCCAGTGAAGACATTAGCTCAGGAAATGGAAGGCAGAGGACTGGAGAGATGGCCCTGCCCCCAACTCTAACCACCATAATTCATCCCCAGGACCCACAGGGTAAATGGAGAGAATCACTCCACAAAGCTGTCCCCTGACTCCCACACGAATGCCATGGCATTAGGGGGCCCACACGTATAAACACATGAGTGTGCACAAACACCTAAAAAGGTTACACATAAAAACGTAGATATATGAAGAGAGCAAGTGGAAGAAGAGAAAAGGGAGGGAGAGGAAGGCACTCAACACCGGCCTCTGGTGTCACAGCTGCAGGAGTATGGGACACGTATGTTCTCATGCTTTGTGAGCACAAATAAAAAAGTAGAATTGTTTTCAATTTGGACTCCAGTTTCCATGCCCCCTTATTGCTTGAAGAGCTAAACTTTCACGTCCACAGGCACACCAGGGTCCCCCTTTGCAATATCCTTGAGGTGACCAGTGGCCAAGGAGGAACTCCAGCCAGGAGACAAAGGTATGCCGCTCAGGGCCGAGAGTGTCGCAACAGTCGAAGGCTTCATCCATGACCGGCCTGCTTCTCCCGGAGTGGATGGGGACAGGCGGCCCGCAGCACAGGAGAGTGCGATGGGAGGGTGTAGGAACGCAGTTGCCACTGAGCCAGCCCAGGAAGGCATCAGGAGAGAGCAGCACCAGCACTCAGGGCTGCGCGGCCATCGCTGGCAGAGCCTCTTTCCTAATTA